AAACAATGAATCGTGGAACACTTCATCTAAAACTAATGATGTAATGTATGGGGATTAACATAAGAATAAAAAAATATATATATAATCATGAACTATATCTTTAAATAGATTTTCAGTTCAATTTAAGTAACAGTGCTCTTGAAATTTGAATGTTATTAATAGTTCCACAACAGAATTTCAAAAAAAATCATTTAGACTGTATAGTATGTAATTCAGAAATATAGAAACTTCAAATATTATATAGTACTACAATCTGCTAAAATGGTCTTCAAAACACAGTTCCGTGATCTCAGAAATACACGCCTTAACGTTAGTTCTGATGTTGTGAACTGAAAATATAAATGAATACATGATACACTTTGTTTATACTGTATTTATAATTTCTGTTCCTACTTGCTATCAGTAGGATCTTATAAACTTCCAAATGCATGAACTCTGTCAGGTAAGAGATCAAGGTGGTTTCCTGCCTATCCTCTTTTATCTGATGATTATGATATTTTTGTCCATGTTAACCCTACCTTTAGTACACATCAATCACAAAGAAAAATTATTTAAAATACAATCTAGATCACAGATCAGGAACTTATGAAATAATAACAGCAAAACTTTATACAAAGATATGCATATAACAGGCATCATTTAAAACACTGAAATGGGAGTGCCTGGGTGGCTCAATCTTAGGTTAAGTGTCTACCTTCGGCGCAGGTCATGATCTCAGGGTCCTGTGATCGAGCCCCACATCGGGCTCCCTGCTCAGCAGGGTGTCTGCTTGCCCCGCTCCCTCTACCCCTCACCCTGCTCATGCTCTCTCTCTCGCTCTCTCTCAATTAAATAAAATCTTTAAAAAAATAAAGATTAAAAAGAAAAAAACAAACACTGAAATGGTTAGAGTTGAAAGACAGATAGACATAAAACACTGAAATAATAAGGTCGCTTAACCAAGAACTCACTGCTACAACCAATCTGAACAACTACCGTTGGTCAAAGACAATGTCTTCAATCTCTTATGTGGACTCCTCATGTCCAGATGCATTTCAGTAAGGTTAGAGAGCAGTTTGCCTGTATGTCTTTTCAGAAGAAAAGAACTATCTGTCAACTTATGTGTCAAGTTGAGTAAGACAATTAACGTCTCTAGGTTTATGCTCTTGTTTCTAGTGGGCATAACTATAAGTTACTTCCCACAATTCAAATTTTATTTTATGAAGTCATAATCTTAAAACAAATGAACAAAAATTTAAGTGTCTCATATATACAAAGAAAGGAAGACAGAAAAGGTCAAATATTTAATCCTATTCAAATACACTATGAACATCCTACTTTGCAAAAGAAAGCAACAGAAATGAAGGAAATGAAGACTAGAAGAAATACAAAAATGAAAACTCTTACTAAGTCAGGACTGGGATTTTCTTCTATTTTCGCTTATTTTCTAAATTTTAAATCTTACATTATACTTTTTAAATCCTAAGTCTATGGATTAAAAATGAGATTTTATAGGAGATAGAAAGGAACAAATGGGATACACCAAGACATTTCTCTCAATGACTTTTAAAATAGACTGAATCAATCAATACAGATATTATAAATTTGGATATATAAGAGATGGCCCATGTACACTACAAACTGTTTACATTACAATAGAAGTCGTACATAAAATTGCAGGGAATAAACTTTGCTTATTAACAATGTATTTTTTAAAATGTCTTTCCAAAGGTATACACAATTTTTTTAAAGAATTTATTTATTTGAGAGAGAGATAGAGAGCGCGCATGCATGCATGCACACATGCAGAACCCGGGCGGCAGGGCAGAGGGAGAGGGAGAAGCAGACTCCCTGCTGAGCAGGGAGACTGATGTGCTGGCTCCATCCCAGGACACTGAGATCATGACCTGAGCCCAAGGCAGACGCTTAACTGACTGAGCCACCCAGGCATACTCCATTTTTTAAAAAGCACATTAATAAATGCATAACATATTCCTCTATTTTTAAAAATAATAAAAACTTGTTCCATGTATAATCTTCCCAACTTATTCAGTTTACTTTAGGACTTGCAAAATCAAAATTTAGCACAAAAACTAACCTTACATAGGGTACAGGGTCATTCTGAATCATATTAAGTAGCCATTGCAGTTCTTCATAACTCCTGTCCACTGAAAATAAAGAAATATATTTGTTTTTAACTATAACAGATGAAATAATGAGTGACAAGGAAAGATTTACACTTAATATTTAGGGCTATGTCTTAGCTGTATCTCAAATCAGAGTTGAAGACTGTAGACAACTTCTTACATTTTTTATGGACTAGGCCACTTCGTAAACTTCACTGGTATTGTGCTGTATATAGCCAAAACATAAAACAGGACCAAGTGCCTATTTTTCAGTAATGCTCAAGTCAATGACAAATAGAACATAAAGGAAATTATAATTTATTAAGAGCCCTAAATTAGAGATGAGTAACTCTAAATGGACAAAATATATTTAAATAAAATTGTGTTCTAGATGCTTAAATCAAATTAATAGGAAAATCTGATACCCACTGGTATCTCAACTATATTAGAGTATACAATATGAAATAATGTTTTTACCCAAGTGGTTTCTTTCACTTTAAGACTAAAGAACAGTCTTAACTTTTCAACATAACATAACATAGTGCTATAAATATAAATGATCTGGATAAAATCACTCATTAGCAATTTCCATTCACCTTTTCAACAAGTTATGCTTCTATGATTTGAAAAGCTTTATTATCAGAATTTTATTTCTGATATCTTCCATTTTTTCACTTTCTAATCTAGAATTATGGATAATACTGAAGCACCTCTCAATTATACTTATTAACTTAGCATTCTTTTGGAAATCATAATATTAGCATTCTATTTCATTTCAGGTAATACTAATTCATGAAATCTTAGTATTTATGTGACAGTAATCATCATTCATGTATCTTGGGAAAGAAGGTTGAGAATACTGGCATATTTGGTAAATCTCAGGACATCTAGATTTCACAAATTGGTAAACTGTCAAAACAAAACAGGAGACTGATAGACTACATTTTTTACTTGACAAAAAAATCTATTAAAAAAAAAATCACTATTTTCACCACCATTTCTTAAGGGAAAGAATTATTGTTACCCTCAATAAAAAGAACAAATGACAGTCCTTTCTAAACTTAGCCCAACATATATAATATACACACTATTTTGTTCTTACCTTCTATAATTTCTGACTATACACACACATACTTCTATTGAAATTTACTAAAAAAATGATAAAGATTTGAGTAATTTCCTCTAATATGTAAAAATTAACCTGTATCTATTAAAGAACTTCCCTCACTCCTTCCTATTTCCATAGTCAGAAGTATAAAATACTCTAACTTCTTCACTCTTCCCATATTTTGGCACAATAATCTGAAATTCTCTATGCAAATTAAATTATTTATTTCTTATATTTGCATATTATTTTTTTAAAGATTTTACTTATTTGAGAGAGAGACAGAGCATGAACGGGGGAGGGACAAAGGGAGAAGGAGAGTGGAAGCAGGCTCCCTGCTGAGCGAGGAGCCCGATCTGGGCCTTGATCCCAGGTCCCTGTGATCACGACCTGAGCTGAAGTCACACACTCAACCAACTGAGCCACTCAGGCACCCCTGTATATTATGAAGAATTATTTTTGAGAGGTGCCTGGGTGGCGCAGTCAGTTACGCCTCTGACTCTTGGTTTTGGCTCAGGTCACGGTCTCAGGGTCGTGAGAACGAGCCTGCATGGGGTTCCTGCCCAGTGTGGAGTCTGCTCAGGGTGAAGTCTGCTTAAGATGCTCTCTTCCTCTGCCCATCCCCCCACCTCTGCACGTGCATGCTCCCTCTCTGAAATAAATAAATCTTTTTTAAAAGAAGAATTATTTTTGAAGTTTGCATTAAATTTTATAACCATGTTATTAACAAATATTTAAGCTTAGCTTTTTGTTTTGTTTTTTTTTTTACAGGCACAGTCACTCATCACTAGGTCTTTCATTTCATACTTTCATCAATCTTGAGTTATTATTTGATTCACTTCCAGGTCAGCTGAAAATTCTTTGGGAATTCCGTTTTAAAGAATGTTACATAGGAGATGTACTTCTAAATCTTTAAGGCTACATGAGTGACAACCTGGCAAAAAAGAGAAGGTAGGATTGCAGTTTTCCCTAAACATTACATTAGCCATTTTTCACTGTCTTTTGAACTCTTCATATTCTGAAGAAGTCACAGGCCACAGGCCACATTATTCTTTTATCCTGTATAATAACTGGGTTCCTTAACCTTAAAAATTTTAATTTTATCAGACTCTAGCTTAAAAAGTTTCATTTTACTCTTTTGTTTTTCTTCTACCTGCTTTATTCTTCTTGACTGATTTTTAATATTTTCATCTCTGTATTTTTCTGCCCTGTATTTCTTTAAATGTTTTGAATATGTAACATTTTCTTAGCCATTTTTTGGTCTTACTTTTTTTCAACCTCAAGAAGCCTTTTCTAACCCCCCCGGCTGAGGTTCCTGTGTATATACCTCACTTTACTTTCAGAAACAAATTTTTGAAAGGTACAAGATGTTTTCTTGAGTCCTCAGCTAGAAATTTCTCAAAAATCTTCTTCTAGTTTTAATAACATGTAATTAAAGCTATGGAGTAATACACTGACTCCTTAGAAAGACCAAAAATACCTATTTCTAATTTTATTCTTTTCCCTCACTTATTCTTATACAAGTTTTACATTTACCAAAATTCTTTCTGAAGAATTTAAAATTTAAATCTCTATTTTGTTTGCAATAGGAAACCCCAATAACTGAGATGGCCTTAAATATTTAGTAAACATTTCCTTCTAAAATGATAAGAGCATATGCTTCTAAAGCATTACCTTTAGTATAATCAACAACTGCTTCCAAAGCTGCTATCCTAATGTCCACAAAGTGGCCATACTCTGCATAAGATTTAAAAAGAGCTGGATCACTTGGCACATGTCCATTCTTCTGAAGCACTCGTATGGCTCTCAAACAACTAGGAAAAAGAGTATTTACAGTGAAATATTTCTTTTCTTTTTTTTTTTTTAAGATTTTATTTATTTGACAGAGAGAGACACAGTGAAAGCAGGAACACAAGCAGGGGAAGTGGGTGAGGGAGAAGGCTTCCTGCCGAGCAGGGAGCCCGACGTGGGGCTTGATCTCAGAACCCTGGGATCATGACCTGAGCCGAAGGCAGATGCTTAATGACTGAGCCATCCAGGCGCCCCTACATTAAATATTTCTATAAAAATATTTTGAATCAAACTTGTTTCCCAGGCATTAGGAATCAATCTGTAACAGCAAACTGAAAAACTGATGTGATCTGAATCATCTTTTAATTTTGTAACATTAAGAACATTAATTTTTTGCACTAATTTAGTCAATAATGTACATGGAAAGTGAGAACTGGTGATATTTGAACCACTTGATCAATTATTTTTTAGCAAACTCCTAAAGAAAGAGAAGTTTTTGATAGCCATATACAAACAAGTTGATAAAAGTGAAGTCATCTAAGTAAGAAGCTTAATGCGGAGATGTTTATACTATATCTAATGGGATAAAAACATTTTACAGACATCAAAAATGTTTATGAAGAACTTCTGATGACATGAGAAAGCGTTTATGATATAAGCAGAATACAAAAATTTATGTATATGATATATATCACATAATTAAAAATGTATTTATAGTTACAAGAGGAAAAAATTTAGAAGGCCATTCTCCAAAACAGTAAAAATATATCTGTGATGGTACAATGATATAAGATTTTAATCTTCTTTTACTTTACTATATTTCCTATAATTAGAATAATTTCTCTTATAATTATAAAAGCAAGTAATTTTTATCATACCTGACAGTGATGGTGTGTCTATAACTTGGAAGAAGTTTTTCCATATTCAAAAACCTGGTGATTTCTTCAAGAATGAGTCGTACATCTGGATTTAAGTTGTCCAAAGTTCGAACTTCATTATTCACACTGACTGCAGGCGTAACAGAGTTGGCAAGGGCATCAATCATTTCAGCACGATAATAGTTATCTGAAAACTAAGCCAAAAATAATCACAAGAAACAAAATTCACACTTCTGTTCAAAAATTAATAAAATACTTATAACTTCAAAACATTAATTATCTGAAAACATAAGCAAGTTCTCTGGTGATTATTTAACTATGTCTTTTGTGTAGTTATACATTGGGAAAAAGAGTGAGAGAGACTTACTAATTAGTAATACATTAGTTTACTCAACTAGTATTTACAGCATGTAAGAGTAACCTACCTAGATTCCTCTCAAAGGAAGACCACAGGCCACAAATCCTGCTGGTAACACAGAGCTTGAAATCAGCTATTTAGCTCTACACTCACATATAAATTTATAACCAAGGATCCCCAGATATTTGAGGAAGCCATCAACATAAAAAAGGAAGACCAGAACAAACAAAAGGAAAAAAGCAACCTGTTGGAAAGAGTTTGCAGGGAAAAGAAAACTGGTAAGGGGAAAGAAAATCCAAAACCTATCATGAACATAGTCTGAGAAATAACCAAAGGTATGCCTTCCAATTGTGTAACTTATTTTAAAAAGAAAAAAATATGCAGAGATTGAGAATCAAAATTAAATTGGAATATAAAATTGAAAAAAGTTCCTGAAATTCTAAGCAAAAAGAAAGACATAAAGTAAAAAGAAAAGGAAACTAGAGGGCTGGTGTAGAAGACGTAACATACAAACTGGAGATCTAGCAAGAAAAGCAGAGAAAAGAGAGGAGACAACAATACAAAACAATTTCTAAATCCACATCCCAGTCAATTCCCAGAGAAGCAATTTATTGAAAGGCAACCTAGGGTGGCTTGATTTACACTCAGCAAATCAGATCCTCTAGCCTGGGAATTTGAACTTGGAGCAATTCATTTGATCATCAGTGTTGGGAATATGGTATGGAAACACAAACTGCCAGGGGATGGAGGGGAAGCACCTGCCCCCTGTGACTTCCACGGTGGAGGCAGAAGCTCACATTGACAGTTATAACGACAGAATCCTGACACATGCCTATAGTTCAGATACGGGGCAGAAAATAAGGTACACAATAAACACAATCAAAGAAAAAATACTCCACACACGTTCACTATGGACCAAGTTTTGTTTTCATGATTGCAAAATTAGTCACTAAATCCTTCCCTCCGGAGCCAGAGAAAACAATCATGGATTTTTGTCAGGCTAATTTTGTTTTAACATTGTAGCATTTATCAACCTTTTCTTTTCCAGGTTCTAAGTCTGGTTTCCAATTTAGAAAGACCTTTTCCATTCAGAGATTATTCAAATTATGTTTATAGGTTTTCTTCAAATATTCTGATTGCTTCATTGTTACCTCTACTTTGCCAACAAAGCAAAAGTCCATTTACTTAACCGCTATTTCTGACCTAAGTATTCAGATCACAGAATGAACTTAGAAATTAAAAATGAGATGGGGGTGTGGGTGAAGTAGGAAAACCAAAAGATTTAACATTTATCCCTCAGACCACATCCAATTCTCACAGCTACTATAATCCTAACTGAACAAGCTAGATTATCTGATCACCTCAAGGTTAGAAGAGACAAGAAAGAAGAAATAATTTGCAGAACACATGTAAGGTAGAGGCTATTCAGTATAGTGAAAATTCCTACAAAAAAAACTCTGAAGGCATCAGTATCAGTGTACTACAGCAAAGGCTGGCTGATGTTTTTAACAGTGATTCTTTGGAATCAGGAATAGTTCAACCCATGTTCTGTGTACTGTAATTAACAAAACAGAAATTTCATAATCATATATGATTTATTAGAAATACATATATATGCATAAAAAATTATCATATAAAATAGCTAATAACTAGGCTTAAAGGGGATTAAATTTTAGACTTCTTGAAAACTAACTTATCCAGAGTACTGAATTTCATGCGCTGCCCAATTAACCCATAACAGATGAAATGATTTTTGAAGCATAGCACTCAATAGCTATTTGCTAATTAATAAACATACATTACAGTGAAAAACAAAAAAGGTTAAATTTACTGTTTTCTGTGCAACACATAGTAAAATAAAAAATAAGAAAAAATAAAAATTGGGCTATCAGACTTCACCAAAACAAGTTTTAGTTGGCTCCTCAAAATCTGATGCACTACTATTTCCACATTACTACAGGTATAAGGAACATTTAAAACACAATTTAAAAAAAAAACAAAAAACAACTAATCTTGGGTTGTCTTCCACTGGTTCTTATAATAAATCGTATTTGTATATTTCTATCTCTAGAAATTTCAAGTACCATGGACTCAACAATGATTTCACAGTCTAAATATTTCTCTTTAAAAACAAAGTATCACTAGGTAGTTTTATAATATTCGTTAAAGTATCTTACCTTATTTTTTCTGTTGTCATTGTACTTGATTAAGTCTAAAATGAATGTTAAGACTTCTTTGGGACAAAGGTTGTGAACATCTCTCAATAAAGCCATTGCAACTGGCATAGTCTACAAAAAAAACAAAAAAAAAACCAAAAAACTTTTTTAAGCATATAATAACTTCTTTCGTTACTATAATTCATTTTAGTATATGCAGAAAAGGGGTACTCCGGGACTGACCTAGGTATCCGGATGGAGTTTAACCCCTCTAATTCCCACCCCTTCTCACTGGGAACATGTGAAACATTGTAACAGAAGAACAGAGTAGCAAACCAAGGGGAGAGCAGTCTGTAGCCTGTGTGCGTTTGTCTTCATTTGGTGGAGTAAAGTATATGTCATAGAAATTATATAAATCCAGTTCTGTGTCTTACAGTGGAAAAGGAATGGGTTTTAACACTAGACAGACTACTCTTCAACTCCTACTCTACTACCAAGATGATTATTTTAGCTAGCTGCTTACTTAAGAGCCTTGTTTCCTCACAACCATTTTTAGGATTAAATGATCCAGTGGCTGGAAGCATCTGACAGGGAAGAGGTCAATCATCAGTCTGGGAGACACTGATTCTGCAGTACCACCCCACTCTCAACCTAAAGAAAAATGGTAAATTATCTAAAATCCAGCCTAACTTTCCCCTTTCCAGATTTTCACAGGCAACTTTCCTAAAGAAGCGGAAACCTGACTCACACAGTGGTAACCTTTACCAGTAAGACCAAGCTACTGAAACTCAAGAAAGAACCACAGATGAAGTCATCACAGTCCTCAGTACCCACGGAGATTTGGACTATGCTCTCATCTGATTCAAAATAACAGTAACTTCTAAACTGAAGAACAAAAAGGAGGGAGGGAGCACGAAGGAGCAGAAGCAATAGGACAGTTAGTGTTACAACAGTGTAACAAGAGACAGTGTTAATGCTGTAAGAACTGAAGGAAAGGCTCTTTTCCATAGAAATACCTTCCTATGCCTGTTCTGCCCTTTGGGACTCAAGTTTGACTTAGAGAGTAATCTTTTCTCTCTTTTCTGGCACTAAAAGTATTATGTAAAAGAAGCTGGTATACAAGCAATAATCTTCCAACTTTTTTGACCGCAACCCACAGTAAGAAATACATTTACATCCCAATCTACACACACACACAAATTTCATATACACTAACTAAAAAACAAAACCACAAACACTGTATACCTAAAGTGTGTTTATACCACACCTTATAAGATGTGTTGCATTCTGATACTGCCTACTGTTTTATTTAAAAAACAAACCAAAACTTACAAATTGATCTCATCCCCCTCACTAACGGGATACAACTCCCAATATGAAACACAATCTAAAGTATATGGACACACAATGGCACAATGAAGTGGACATACTGGGTAGACATTAACTTGTTTCCATACCATGAATTAGTCAAATGGCAACAGAGAGCTGAGCAACAAGTACTAGAGAATGTTCAGTTCTTTAAAATGACAGGATGCCACTAGACTTGATTATATCAAAATTGGTTTTCCCCAAACCTGACTCATCCTGAATCTGTTCTGATGAAATTCACTATAATTGTATCATGACTTCTACTCTCAGCAGGTGCCTCAATGTTGCTGGGTAATCTTTCACTTCTCCATCATATATAAATCTCACCTTACCTAACATTTCCCTCAACATCTATCATTTCACTCACTTCCAATCTGCTTTCAACCTGCCTCAGAAAAAGGAATGTTCTTATCTTTCCTAAAATTAACCTCCCAACTGCGTCCCACCCACTCCTAATATCTTCAGAATTTACTCTGCCCTCTCTTTTTTTATATCTACTTGCTCCCACTTGAATATTTCATCTCTCCTTTTCCACAGATTCCTTTCTCTGTGCCAAACATGCCTCAAGTTTCTTCTTCCTTTATACAAAACAAACCCAAAATGTCCCTTTCTTAGCACTGCTTTATCCTCGACATGTCTCTCTCATATTCTTCAACACCAAAATCATTAAATAGGCTTTGTTAGTTTTTTCTACTTCAACTTCACTGTTCTTTCTAGTTTGATCTACTTAATCTGATCTCTGCCTTTATTACATATTTTATTTTTTTTTACAGAGGAATATATTTATCTATCTACATATATAAAGAGAGAGAGAGAGAGAGTGTGTGTGTGTGTGTGTGTAGGGAGGAAAAACAGAGGAAGAGGGAGAGAGAGAATCTTAAGCAGGCTCCACACCCAGCACAGAGGCCAACACAGGGCTGGATTTCACGACTGTGAAATCACAAGCTGAGCCAAAATCAAGAGGTGGATGCTTAACCAACTGAGCCACCCAGGCACTCCTGCCTTTATTATTATTATATTATTATTATTATTATTAAATTACTCAAAACATTTTACAAGTGACTGGCAAATTGCCCAAATGCTGAAAATCCTGCCTTTCCCACATCCCTAACTAAAACAGTGACACCATCACACCACTGTGACTTTCTATATTATCATTTATAAAAAACTTATTATATGATAAATACAGTGTAAAAAACACTTTACATACTTGATCTATTTGATTTTTAAAAAGATAAATTTTACAACTGAGTAAACTGAGGCTTACAAGGTTAAGAGACTTGTCCTCGTGCAAACTGCAAGTGAGAGCAGAGCTAGGGCTGAAACCAGAGATGGGTACTGTACTTGTCTGTCTCAGAAGGGCTGTCCACGTTCTAGAAGGACTGCCATCAGAAGAACTCACTCATATCTCCAACCCCCTTGTAACCAACCAAAAAGTTAAATTATCCATTTCTGTTTACTTTAGTATAAATGTTGATAGAGAGTTACTTACAGCTCATAAACTCAATGAACAATCAATTAAAATTTGGGGAACATTTTTTTTTTTTAGAGATCTTACTTATTTACTTGAGAGAGAGAGAGAGAACACGCACATGAGCAGGCTGAGCAGAGGGAGAAGCAGACTCCCCGATTCGGGGCTTGATCCTGGGACTCTGGGATCATGATCTGAGCCAAAGGCAGACACCTGACCAACTGAGCCACCAGGCACCCCTGGGGAACATCTTGTAGAACCAAAAATAGAACAAAGACAAACCTTTTATAAAAAAGTAAACACACCTGCTATTTAAATAGTCCCCAAGTTAAACTGAGATACACAGATAATGGCATACAACAATTGTAACAAAGTAGAAAGTAAACTGCACCTTCTGTAGAAAATAGCTTTGAAAGCTCATAAAGTTGTTTGTTTTCACAATGTTTGGACAAGTCTTGCAACAAAACATTCTAGTAAAGAGTGACTTCATGGCTGGTGGTCCTGTCCATGTGCTCACCATTGAATTCGCAATCTGCAAATAATCAGATTAGAAGCAATTTCCATCACCACTGAAAACATACTTTTAAATAAATAAATAAAATAGCTTCTTAAAATGTATTAAAACAATTGGATTTGTTTTCAACAATTTCAATTCTCAGAAATTTAATACATTTTAGCCTTTTTTACCATTTCCCAAAAAAAATTAACTCATCTCCCCCCCAAATTCTTATGTACACTTATAATTATTTTCTATAATTTCTAAGTTGGAGCATTCTTTTATGTTTTAAGAAAACATGTTTGCAAAAGGCTTCTTTTCTGAGTAAGTTTGTCTTTGTCCATTTAGGAAAATATAATTCTAACACTTTAAATTATCAAAGAGAATCATCACCATGGATTTTATAAGGTTTTAAAATCTACCCTAATTGAAAAATAAGCCAAATACAGCGCTAATGTTTTAAGTCTGCAAGAATGCTTCACAAAAAAACCATATCTTGCTATTGAAACTTTCAGCGTATACAGAAATTATGTCTGAAAAGACTGAATTTATAATTTTAAATAATAGTCTATAATTTCATGAACCTAAGAATTTAGCATGAGAGAATCACAAAGATCTTTATAGAAGCAATGAAATTATATCCTTAGCAGATGATCTATCAGAGAATACCATACTGTCCCTCACATATCTGAGTAGGATGTAGGAATGCAACTATTCAATAGTGACCATTAAAGACAAAACGAATCTAAACCATTACAATCTTTGGAGATGTTGGGCAAATGGATTTTAGCAGTGAGGAAGGCAGAGGAGTCACTAAATGGGAATGAACCTATTATCAAGATGTTTTTTAAATACCTGGAACCCAGTATTTCTGGCCAAATTTTTGTCTGCGTTTTTGTGGTTTTCATTTGCTCTACCTTCAGTTTTTTTGCATCTAAAGAAAAATATTTAGTTTTCTTAATAAATTAACTTCTCTTGCATGTGAAGTTATAGAACCTATCATTTTAAGTTATATATCACTAATACTGATTACTAAACCCAAACCAACATGAAATAATCACCACAGCAGGATAGTTAAGATGAACTGATTTCCTATACTATAAGGTAAAACGTCACTCAAACTAAGGAATTTCTTGCCAAATACAGTCTATGCTTTAACAGTATGGTTTGGCAATTCAATAAAATGGAGAACAATCCTCTTTGAATTTAAAATCTGACTTTCAGTTTGAAAATTACAAACTTTTAATGCATTATCTATTTTCAGATCAAAACATTTTTCTTTCAAATCAGTCTTATTAAACATTTTTGGAAAAAAGCTTTCAAGGGACCAGCTACCAAGTAAAATTAAAGACTATGGCAAATGTTAATTCATTTTCAGAGTTTTTTGGGTTTTGTTTTTGTCTTTGTTTTTAAATATGCGGTAGTCATGTTTTCTTTCTACTATGCATCATCTCACCTTTGCGAGGCAGAAGCAAGCGGACATTCTTACTCGGTAAAAACACTGCTCTTGTTCTAGTATGTCAGTGAGTGCAAGGCGAGATGCTGGCGTAGGGAACTTCTCCAAGGCCAGAATGGATTCCTGCTGTGCAACAACATCTCTCTCATAGCGGAGCTGATACTGCCACATGAAATCAGCTTGCTCAAACTCCACTTTCCTCAGCACTGACATATCTGGGTCTATCCTTATCCACAGCAAAGGGGAATCCGCACTGAAAGAAAATACAATTTCTTTTTGTTTCAATTTTATATGTTTATAAAATAAAAACAAAGCATTTATTAAATAGATTCTCTTCTCTATGTAATATTCAAGACTGCCTGAACTTTTACTGTATTCATTTTTTTAATCACACTGACAACATTCTCATTATGTTTAATGTATTTCAACTTTCTCACAATAGCTAATCTTTATTAATCTTGCTTAAAAGATCCTCAAGGATAAGAAGACAGTTGTCACAAAGAAATTCCATCTGAAAATTTTACTTGGGGGATTTTGATTTGTGATTATGTGACGTGGAAAAAAAGAATGAGATCAAATTTCTTCATTTCATGGCCTATAGCCTGACTATGGCTATAAATGCCATCATTTCTTGGAATCAATCTGTGACTAAGAAATGAATTTATTTTAAAATTAATTTGTTTAACTGATTTTTAATAGTGTTTTTTTAAATGTTAGATTCATGATCATCTTTCTCAAACAGGAAGTTCTGAAATCATAGTTCAGAGGCATATCATGAATTTATCCTCCCATACTTGTCAAAATAACTCGCACAGTTTAAAATATCTAGCCTATGTCAACACCATCAACAAAAGAATATTACCTGAAATACTACTTTAATTCACCAAATACTAGTGGGTGCTTACTACAGGTAAGGCACTTGATATGGAAAAAGTACATAAGGGTATATAAACAGCAGTAATATTTGGCAACCAAGCTAGTAATTACACGTTTTATAAAAAAATACACAGGCACAATATGGATGAGCAAAATGAAGTCTGAGCTATAGTATTTTTTAAAGATGAAACACTGCCAATCAGTAAATATTACCACATAAAATTTAGAACAGTGATATTTAAATTGTATTTTGAAAGCACAGGGAGCCTCAAAGTGCCCTGAAGCCTTGTCCAAAGACAAAAAGAATCTGTATTTTCTGAGAGCTCCCTAGAAATCAGACTATCAGGACCCACTAGAAAGTACTAGATCAGAAACTGCATTTTAAGAAGATCCGCAAGTGACACACTATAGTTTGAGAAACATTGTATTTCTATGGACTTTCAAAATTTTAAAAGCAGCAAGTTCAACACATTTACATACTTTTAGATGTGCATAACAAGACACATGAGAATGCATATATTATATCCTTAAACTCAAGTAACTAACTTACTCCATCGCAGAAAGATCCATGTCAACTTCCTCTCCATTCATCAGTGGAATTTTTTTCTTTTTATTCCTACATTTAGGGAAAAGTTAAGTTTACAAACTATGACATTTCCAATTCTGAAAGGAGATAAAGAACAGTTGAAGCTCAAAATAAAAATTTCAGGCAACGTTGTAAGACAGCTTGAGGAAGAAGGGATAGTGAATGTAATGGAATTTAAACACACAAAAAAATCTATTTTGAAGCTGAAGGGAATGAAGTCAATGATACTGAAATGTCTTCCTGATCAAAGTTTAACAAAAAGCAAAAATATGTAACTAAATGCCAGGTTAAAACATAGATGTACTTCCAAGAACTGGTAAGCTGTAATTTTATACAAAAAAGATTGATCTATCAACAAAGAAATCCTTTATAAAAAAACTGAAAAAATAACCAGCCCTGAAATGAGACATGAATTATTTTGAACATGTGCTCTATGTGCAAGAAGCTGTCCCATATGAAATGAGGTATGTGATTAACTATAATACATCTTAACATTATTAATTAACATATACAACTAGTTAATATGAAAAAGATTTAGGATAAGCCCCCCAAAAAGCAACTGCTTCCATGCAAATTACTTTTTTATTATGTTATGTTAATCACCATACATTACATCATTAGTTTTTGATGTAGTGTTCCATGATTCATTGTTTGCATATATCATAAAAATCTACTGGATATACACTAAAAACTTGGGTGACTACAAATTAAAATAGGAACAAAGAACAGTCTTCCTGTGTTCCTCACGCCAAAGAATACCCAAAGGACATACTGTTACTACAGAGAAAAAACCCTGAGGAAATGTTATGAAAAGAGTGGCAATCAGATGTTCCCAATTTCAAAGGTAGACAGAACAAAAGGAAAGGGAAATTTCAGCCTGAACTAAGAAAGAATTTTTGCAAAGGAAAAATGGTTTCAAGGAAATTTCAGAATCAATTTCTGAAGGCCATCAAAATCAACTGACATCCCCATCTGTCTGACATGACCTCAATGTGGTCATGAGTATAAACCTTCTGTTCCTGAAGTTTTGCTATTACTATACAATCCTCCAGCGAAACACAAAAATATTCCCATCTTTCGCTCTTCAGAATACATGCTAATGGCTGAGTTAAACAATAGTGGTAAAGAAAAAATATACTACATAGAAGATGAACGGTTGAACATTTTTTAAGGAAAATGACAATGTGCCGTTTTGAAAGACAAGGATGTTTTTTAAGGGGCACCTGGCTGGCTCAGTTGGAAGAGCATGCAACTCTTAATCTTGGGGTCATGAGTTCGAGTTCCATGTTGGGTGTAGGATTACTTTAAATAAATAAATAAAGGGGCAGCGGGCTGGCTCAGTTGGAGGAGCATGTGACTCTTGATCTCAGGGTCGTGAGTTCGAGCTCCATGTTGGGTACAGAGATTACTTAAATAAAATTAAAACAAAAAAAAGAATGTTTTGTAAAGGCATGGTGATACAGAGAAGAGGAGAAAGACATAGTAAAGAAAATGCAGGGGCTTTTTATGACATGTATTCAGCTCCTTCCTTTATATTCAATGATCATCTCCCCAATATTTACTATAGATATTAATCCAATGACATTAATAACAACAAACCTAAGCAATTTGCCTTGAATTTTTCCTGGCTCCAAAAAAAATCAAACTTCTATTCCACCTACCCCTGACCCTACAAAATAAAGATTATTAAACCTAAATCTAAATTTTTAAATTAATTAATTCAAAGAATAAAATGTTGTCAAGAACAAAAAGCAAATAAAGAATAGTTGGTAATATCAACTTGAAGTAGAAGGACGAAAAAAGATACCAGATAACATGTTCTCTACTTGAAACTTAGGTATATATTAGGATTTCTATTTTGGCATTTTAATCTGTGAGACTTACAGTTTAATTATCAATTTCAGTTTAAAGTTATGATTCAATGCCTACCTTCTGCTTTTAGAATGACAGGGAATATCATGCTTAAGGCTGTTTTCTTCAATTTGCAACGTATGATTGAAGGATCCATCTAACTCCTGCACTGTCACTTTAAGTGGTCCCTTTAAAAAGAAACAGTGTTCAAAGATAATGCCAGAAAAATACCATATATGTATTCTTATGTGTACAGGTATATATTTCAAGATATAAAATAGTACTATAGAAGATGTGTGTCTAGGGACAGAGAAAGGTAGCTAGTGCCAAAGGAGGGGAGAACTGGGATATCTGTGTCCCCTGAAATCTCCATCATAACCTCTTCATTGACCCGTCATTGACACCTGGTGTTTTCTCAATTTCAACCTTTGCAAACAAATTCTCATTATGAAACTTCTAACCAGCTCTCCACCCATAAGCCCTTCCTATATTGAAACTGGGAAGAAAGCAGTACAAAAGGCCATTTTGGAAAAAATCTTACCACATATTTCTGAGTTCCCGGCGATGTATAATCTTGCTTTATTTCTAATTCCAAAACATTTCGTTTTCTGTTAAATGCAAAACTTCCATAAAATTTTACCACTCCACTCTGGTCTCTGAAGAATTGTAAAGGAATTTTTGCATATTGACATGAATATGTACTAAGCAAAATAAAGGACTCATTATAGTAGGTGATAACTTTCAGATGCATTCTCACCAGTTCAAGGCCTGAGAGCACACTTCAGGGTAAACCAGGTGGCAAAGTATTCAAAATTTTTGTGAAAAGTGTTTCCCCATATTTAAACAAAATTTCTGAAACGTTCTGAAAGAAGCAAAACCACTCTACTGGGTTATTAATATAATAGTGCTTTGATATGAAAAAAATGTAAAAATTGAAAAGTTCCCAGATACCAGTTAAGTTGTGCCAACCCCTAACCACATCTAAAAGCCACCAGACCACTGAATCTTACAAGTAATCCTGCAGGCCTGTCTGGTGGATTATTTACCTCCCCCACCATTAAGCCTATTGCTATATTCACACACTAAAAAGTAATTCAAAATATGCCAAATTTTACAAGCATAAACATATATGTGTGTGTATCTCAATGATTAATAGGCACCTTAGCAGAAATGATTTACAGTTCCTAGTTCTTTCTACTACTATTTAGCAACTTAAATAGTTCTTCTCCTTTGGTCTTCCAAATCTTTTTTTTTTTCCTCCTTTCCCTGACACACATAACCTTATTCCCTTCCCCTCCTTGTTGAGCTGCTACTGAAAAGGATACACCCACTGCTTTATTAAAGGCTGGATGTCTTTGCCAGAGACATTTGAGATGGATTTCAAAAACCCAGATGTGGAAACCAACATCTGACTCCACATATGTGACTGGAACTTCTGTGATGAAGCAGTACTAGCCAAACTTAACAGTTTATTGAAAACCTGTAAGGATGAAAGTATCATTCAAGTAAGTCTGTATAACATAATATACATTGTTTTCAATTCTGTACTATACCCACTTTGCATTATGACTTTACTATATAGTCAATTACAAAGATAATAATTTCACATCTTACTATATAGGTGGATCTAGTTAAAGACTATTAGCAACAAAAGTATGCAAAGATTTAAACAGCCAGACTATGAAACTATTCTTCCTCAAAACATAATTCAATTTCAATAATGTCCTGGCCAAACAATGAACATTGTTTTTAAGGATTATAATAACAATAATATATAATACCTATAATTTATTGAATCATGAGCTTTACAAAGAAACTAAACATTTAGCAAGTTGAGAATACTCATTAAGACTTATAAAACTCAGGGTGCCTGGGCGGCTCAGTTGTTAAGCATCTCCCTTCGGCTCAGGTCATGATCCTAGGGTCCTGGGATCGAGCCCCGCATCAGGCTCCCTGGCTCAGCGGAAAGCCTGCTTTCCCTCTCCCACTACCCCTGCTTGTGTTCCCTCTCTCACTGTCTCTCTCTGTCAAATAAATAAATAAAATTAAAAAAAAAAAAAAAAAGACTTATACAACTCTACAAAGTTTCTTTATGGACCATCTCTCATTTAATATCTCTCTACTCTAAAGGTAAGGTGAAGGACAGAAAGATTAAAGAAACTTAACTTTAAGGCAAATATAAAATGCTTTAAAAAATTACTAAAAAGTTATTTTTCACTCACCTGTAAGAATATTATCAATGGAAAAAAAATAGCTGAACATTTATAATACATCTTGTTTCTACTGCCTCAACCACTCTATCTCAACTATTTACAACAAAACTTGCTTAAAATATATGGTAGAATTTAATAGTAGCAAAAATAAACATCTTTTAGGTTTTTTTTCTATTGAAAGCACTCTAGGTGGCAGTTCATCCTTAATATTTTAAATAATGCTGAACACAAAATCCTATGTACAAATAGGTTCTACTTTCATCCCCACATTCTAATTTTATATCCATGACAATTCAGCATTAAATGGATAAAGTATTGATACTTATTCTACATCTGAGGAAACACAAACAAAAAGCACAGGTTACTTAGTGAGCAAACAGCTAATTAGTTAACAGAATTCCTGCTATAACTCCAGAGGCCCTGACTCCTATTCTACAGAATAGCATTCAGATTATACATATGGAACGTATCTTTCTCTACAACTGTTAAGTCCTTAACTTTAATACTTACTTGTAGCATGAATTCCATACTGATCCTATTTTCTATCAATCTCATCACGAGGTGAGCTTTACACTGAAACATAGTGTAATATTCCCAAGAAAGCGTATGTGGATGCTTTATTGAAAAGTGTAGATGAGATGCTGGACTAAAAACATAAACAGCTATACTTAGTAAAACAAATTTGTATTAAATAAACAGTAAGTTTCATGGCCACATCATAATATAAGTCAGTAATTTCTCAGCATGAGAGCAACACAAGTAGGAAACTTCTTAAAATAAATTTAACTGGAAGAAAATTATGAAGTTTCATGAAAAAACATAAAGGAAAATTTTAATAAAAACACATGCCAAGCTCCCAGATAGGAAGAGTCTCAATATTTTAGTGCTCTCCAAATTCATAATTATAATTAATGTAATTCTAACCAATATCCCAAGGCTAAACCATACACACACAAAAAACATTCCAGGTGCATTACATATCAAAAACAATTATAAAAGTACTAGAAGAAAAGAAGGAAAAAAATTTCTTGTCCTAATTCTAGGGCAGGAAAAATCTTCCTATAAATAAATAAATAAATAAATAAATAAATAAATAAAATCCATCCAGGGGACAAAGACCAGACTATGTAAAAATTTTAAATTCTGAAATGATGAAAGAGATCATCAGTAAATTAAAAGAAAGGTACAGTCT